TTGCTGCTTCCACACCATCCATGGAGAAGCCTGAAAGATTATTAGAATACGTTAATAGTCCCCTGTGTTTTATCTTCCTGAGGGGGTTATAACAAGACCCTGACTGAAACAGGAAATAGACAATAAATCCCATTTTTATGACTCTGTAAGTCAATGATTTTATGGTTTTAGTAACAGGCATGTACGAAGTATTTTAGGGTTTAGTTTTCAGTGAGTTGCGTGGTTGTTTTTGGTTTGTGGTTTTGTGTTTGTTTTTCTAAGGCAGTGTATATAAGCAAATTAAATCACATGTAATCCTGAGATTGCCAAAGAAAGATTCAGAACAACAAAAACCTGTTCTAAAGAAGTATTTTCCTCAGCTAGTTTTATTCTTGGGAATGTCCTGAATAGATACAGTCATGCCTGCACCTTTTTATTCAGTTGGAATGGGCAGGACCAGACCATAAAGAACAGTCTTGGTTTATAAACAGCAGCCCACTGGGTCCTTGGGCAGCCTGAACCAGTGGGATGATGGGAAGCTCCTCAAGTACAGAGATGAGCTTGCATCTTCTGTAAACACTGCCACAGGTCACTGATCTGAAGGGTCTGGCAGAACATGCACACTGCAAGTGGAGAGATGACTTATTTAATGTCACCTAGAGCTTACAGCCTAATGCAGGCTGTTCCCTCCAGTGCTAATGAAGTTTATGGTATCTAAAATACAAATGTGCCTGCACACAGGCCTCTGCATCTGCAGAGCAGTTGTTAGACCAGGAAAAATAACACCCTTGTTCTTCATTTTTTCCCTGATCTCTGATTTTACCTTTCTGAAATTCATAGAACCATACAATGGTTTCAGTTGGAAGGGACCTTAAATATAATCTCATTCTACCCGCCCCTGCCCATGGCCCTTTCACTATCCCAGGTTGCTCCAAGCCCCATCCAACCTGGCCTTGGACACTCACAGGGATGGAGCAGCCACAGCTTCTCTGGGCAACCTGTGCCAGGGCCTCACCACCCTCACAGGGAAGAATTCCTCCCAATATCAGTTTAAACCTGTTCTCTTTCAGTTTGAAGCCATTCCCTTTTGTCCTGTCACTTCAGGTTTGTTTTAGACACTTACTCATTTTTCAACCACTTGTAGACCATGGAATTAAATGCATCCACAGTAAGTACTTAGTGCCTCTTCTCTTAGGAGTTTAAACACAGATTTATTGATCTGCTGAGCTCTGGCCCAAGCCAGAGTAGGTGGGACATGTTTTGAGCTGGTCCTTCATCCTCCCTGTGCCTCCTCTGGCCTATAACCATTCCTTGCTTATAGAAGTAAAAGGCTGGGGTGTGTGTACAGGGATTTTTCTTATCTCTAAAGGGAGACTGTAACACTTCAGGATAGAACTGATGCTAAAAAATACACCTAGGACTGCTTTGACTGCAACACGTTAATGTTGACCAAACCTGTATATGTTTCTTACTATTGTAAAGAAAGCTTCAGATTTCAGTTTTATTTTTTAATGAGATCATATTTCTCTATTTCTATCCAGTAATGTAGTTGTTCCAGCTTAAACTAGATGTATTTTTGTATTTCAAGCCATGAAGCTTTCCTGATGGACAGTTCTAACAGTGGAGCTGGACATGAAAGCATCTCAGAAAGCCAGCTCTTGCTTCTTAAGCCTGTTGCTGTTTATCTGCCTCTAGCAAGAGACAAACAAGGGAGGGGAAAACAGATATTGAGTAAAGGAAAAAATAACAAAGAAATAAATTAATGCCAGGTGTCTGGAAGCAGTTGCTTACTTAGCTTCCTTTTGGGAAAAGGTGAAACAACAAACCCCACAATCCCTTTTTATCTTCTCTGCAGCCCTCCTCATTCTGCTCTGTTTCTGTATCCCCAAATAAGGTTGGTTGGCCATCCCCAAAGCTCTGAGGGTTATCCTGCCACCTCCTGCTGAAATCCATCCTCATGGCACTTCAAGGTAACTAAGCTGGGTTTTTTTTGGGGTTATGGATGACTGAGTTGGACCTCAGGCACTATGCACTGTTGTAGGCTACTGTTGATTCTTGTGGGGAATAATAATAACGATAATGATAACAATAATAAAACAACCAACAACTTTTTCTGTAATTTTTGCATGAACTACTCTATAGGCAAATCCTTGCCCTAGGCTTCAGCCCCACTGAGTTCTTGTTTATTCTAGGAAATGACTTTGCATGATACTATGGGCTGTATTATTATTCTTTAAATTTATAGGTTTGTATTAACCCCCCAAAGTGTACCATGAAACTCACAGGCATACAGTCTGCTGCCTGGGCATACTTTTATTAAGAAATTCTTGCTGGTCATGCATGACATCAAGCTGATAGAATGATGATACCATAATGTGACTAAGGCCTTTTGAAGTTGCCCAAGATAAGGAATTCAGTTGTTGTCACAACCCAGCCCCAGAGTTTTAGCACTGCCCTTGTTGATGGAAGCTGTAGAAAGAGATTTTTTTTCTTCAGAAATCTTAAGAAAGTGGTGGGAGAGAAGAGGGTGAAATTCCTGACAGCACTGTGGTAGCACTCAGAGAAAAAGCTACTTTGTATTTTGAGACTAGTGGAAAATTTCAGATAGCACAGCACATGCTTTCTGAGCTAACATAGGAACTCCCAAGTCAACATTTTCAGTATGTACACATATTATAGTTCCAATTAGCAGTATTGGTGTTGGGCAGCAACTGCATGTGAAGACAGAGAGTAGGTTGGTAGTTTGTTCTTTTCCTCTAGGCATTTTATTTTCCTTCTAGTGTAACTCCACCTGCAGAGCAGAGCACTGTAGCTGCATTTTGATAGCATGAAACCACAGCCCTCCTCTTCACTGTCTCTTTTTCTGCTTTACCTAACTCTTCGTTCATATAAAAAGGTGTCAAGACTGGCCACAGTGCTTCTGTATAACAGAAAATAACTTGGCACACATGGGGTGGGGGGGTGTAAATGTTTGGTTAAAATAGCAATGTTTCAGGTCAGTAATCAGATTGCCTAGTTCCAGCCAGAGGTGAATTTTTACCACCTCGTATAAGCTGATTTATAGTGGAAACATTAAGAGGTAATGAATGCACACAGCCCTGCGGGCCAGCAGCCCCAGTCCTGCCAGCAGCCCATCCTCCCCCAGGCACCAGCTGCACCAGGGGCTTGCCAGTAGGGCAAGTGGGCAATGCTCTGCCAGCTCAATGCATGGGAGGCATCAGTGTTCACACCAGCACTGCAAATGTGAAGCCACAGATGTAGATCGTATAGACTTGGGGCTAAAAATTTAAAATTATGGACTTGATAACCTTATTGCAGGCATAGGAATATTCACTATTATCAGTACTTTTTCCTTCAAAGCACAAGAAATGTTTTTAAAGCTGGTTTGTGTAATTATTGATTAAAAAAACCCCAAATCTTGGAAATAAAATAGAGTTGGGAGACTTTCATATTAAAGTAGAAAGTATGTTAATTCATGTCATTAGGTGCTTTGCATTGCTCTGGCCCATTTCACTGGACTCATTCTTGGGGATGCACTGCTCTCCCACTCACTGCTGTCAGGTAAGGTCCCAATGTATTCCATTCCCAACCACTTGGGTATGGTTTTTATTACACCACATGCTTTTTAAACATGTGTTCTTTTACACTGCTAGGGAAAACTCAAGCCTGAGGCTTTCCTATGACTAAATTGGAAGAACTAAGAAGATGAGTAAAGAGAGTTCTCTAATTCCCCCTGCAGAGGAGCAAGCTTCCCTTTGCTGTCCTTCATGGCTTCTTTGCAAGCCTAGATGCAGGTGCAGGGTCATGGGCAGCCTGACTGATGACTCCTAAGGCTGTCACATGCACATGTGTGTGAACATTTCTGCCTCCCTTTGTGGCCCAAATTTTCTTCTAGGAGTGCAGGGAATAAGGTTTGGATCTTTGAAATTAGCACCTGCAGTGGTGGGCAAATAAAAGGTACCTGTACTGCACTGGCCATATCACAATTCCTTGTTTGCTTGGCATGTGCCTTTGCTGGAACAAGGACATTAGCAGCTGAGTTAAAAGGATTAAGGTTTCATCTGTAGTCATAAAATTAAAAAACTGCAGAAAAGCCTTTCTAGGTTTAGGACCCTGTGTTTGTGAGCCTGTATCATCCCATTGTTGCTTTCACAGCTCATTCACATTTGTGGTCTGGTTTCTGAGCATTGGCTTGTGGTAGGTGTGTTTCTACTCACAGGTTTGATTTAGGGGTAGAAGCTGGAATAATAAATGTGTGATCAAGCAGTTGCTTGTAGGTTTATAACTGGAAAGAATATATTCAGCTAATAAATGTCAGGTTGTTTTCTCTGTGCAACCTGGTCTAATGGAAGGTATCCCTGAACATGGCAGGGGGTTGAAACTAGATGATCTTTAAGGTCGTTTCCAACTCAAACTGTTCTGTGATTCTATGATTATATCAAGGCACATTGTTTCAGATCAAGTCAGCACTCCCTTTGCTGCACCACTGTTTTGCAAGGTATCTTGAACAGTATCCGGCCTCTTCATTTTTTTTTTTTTAACCTTCTGAAAAGCATCCCCAGCTGCTGAGCCCTTATCTCGCTCATTTTTAAGCCTCTCAATATTATTACTCTCCTCTAAAACTGCTCACTCATCGCTAAGTCTAGGTGACATGTTTTCGTGTGCACCTCCTGCTTAAACATTTGCACCAGCATAGTGTGTGAAAAAAAAAACAAACAACAACAACAACAAAAAAAAAACCAACAAAACAAAAAACCACCACAAACAAAAAAAGGACTTTCCTAAGAAATATGAATGTATTTCCGAGAGATCGGTCTGAAATCGTGTTCATGTTCCCAGTAGATCTTCGGGGAGATCTGCAGCGCTCCCTTGCCTTCCGGCGAGGACGAGGCGAACCTCTCTCGGGTTCCCCGCAGAGGAGATGCCGCCTCCCCTGCGCAGGGCTCTCCTTTGTTCGGGGCCGGGCCGCGGAGAGGCGGGACCCGCGGGGGAGCGCGGAGGGGCCGAGCCAGGCGGGCGGAGCCGCCCGCGCCGCGCTCGCCCGCTCGGCCCCTCGCTTACCGTCGGGGCGGGCGGCATGTGGCGGGGGCTGCCGGTGCTGGCCCTGGCCGGGCTGCTGGCGCTGGGGCGGGCGCCGGCGGCGCGGGGGGCGGCCTGCGAGCCGGTGCGCATCCCGCTGTGCAAGCCGCTGCCCTGGAACATGACCAAGATGCCGAACCACCTGCACCACAGCACGCAGGCCAACGCCGTGCTGGCCATGGAGCAGTTCGAGGGGCTGCTGGGCACCAACTGCAGCCCCGACCTCCTCTTCTTCCTCTGCGCCATGTACGCGCCCATCTGCACCATCGACTTCCAGCACGAGCCCATCAAGCCCTGCAAGTCCGTCTGCGAGCGCGCCCGCGCCGGCTGCGAGCCCGTCCTGGTCCGCTACAGCCACGCCTGGCCCGACAGCCTGGCCTGCGACGAGCTGCCGGTGTACGACCGCGGGGTCTGCATCTCCCCCGAGGCCATCGTCACCGCCGAGGGCGCGGGTGAGTGCGCGGGGACCGGCACCGGCGCGGGGACAATGGGCGGCGGGCGGGGAGGGCAGCCCGGCCGGCCGGGAGCCCTGCCTCCCCTCCGACCGCTCTCGGGCTCTCTCTGCTCTGCCCTCCGCTCTTTTGCTGTCTTTTCTCTGCCTTTAGCAGCCGCGTCGCTGCTGGAAAAGTTTTGCTGTTGGGCACAGAGTGTGTGTGACAAGTGACAGCCCCGCCACCGTTCTGGGGAACGCGTACGAGTGTGGGAGCTACAGCCCTCGTTCCGCGTGAACGGGAAGCGTTTCCGTACCACTCTTGGGGATCCTTCGGCAGCGGCTGCTGGCAGAGAATGAAGAGCCACCCAAGTGAGGGGCAGCCCCCAGGCTGCCCGCTCCCCGTCTCTCCCCCGCTCCTCTGTGCTCATCTTCAGCCGCTCCCTCCTAAAGCAGGTTGCTCCCTTCCCTCACAAGGCCACCACCCCGCAGATTTGGGGAAAGATCGGTGCCCAGAGGAGCCCCAGGCAGGAGCTGGGGGGGCGAGGTCTCCCCAGCCACTTCTATGCCAGTGGTGGGACATGCGCATCTAGAGGAGAGAAAACATGCTCACCTCAGTGGTTAGGTACAGGTTATAGCACAGGTTCCCCAGACGGTCCCTGGGCTCTAAGAACTGTAGCCAGGTGAGGAGTGTAGCAAAGTGCAGCCTTCCGTTGTGTTTTGTTCCCAACATCCCTGAAACCAGCCAAATGCTGCGTCCTGCACCTGAGCCCTGATGGTGTGTGACCACTGTGGCCTCAGAGGGGCTGTTGGAGCCGCTCAGCTTTGCCTCTGCATCCCGTTTCACCAGCTGAGCTCTGTGGTCCCCCGGGATGGCTGGTGCTGGGTGTCTGGATGCCATCCAGCAGTACTGTCGGAGGCAGGAGCATCTCTGCACAGTCAGGTGAGGACTGCTGACTGCTCAGACCATGCTACAGACCTGCTGTGGCTCAGGGATCCTGCTCTCGTCACAGCTGCCTTTGGACTGGAGGAGTTGGCAGGGCACCACTCCAATGTGGTGAGCTGAGCACCACTGAGATATTGAATACAAGGAGGTATTGAACAGGAAATTAAAGTAAGCTGGTGGCTGGTTATCACGAGTGAGCTCTGACCTTTTACAAAGTGATTACAGTTCCTGTGTATTTTCAGGAAAGCATTTGCTGCTGGTGGAACCAGGCTACCATTTTCTTTGATGCAAAGTTTCAGTGCTGGTGGCTCTGCCAGACCTCTCCATCAGAGGAGTTGGAGAGCAGTCCTGGGGTTGGAGAGCAGACCAGAGAGGTCAGAGCAGAGCAGCACCCATGCACCCCACGAGCTTGTTGTGCTGCTACCTGTCTCCTTCAGTGCCCACAGCTGCAGTGCTGGGTTTTGGGAGCTCACTGATGGGCAGTGGATCTCACCTCTCTGTCCTCTCCCAGCACTGGCCTGGGAATGAAAGGGGGATTTTTCATACTGTGCTCAGCACAGTGTTTTACTGTGCTTCTGTCCCACTACTAAATGCTTTATGTATCCCACTGCCAGTAATGCCAAACGCTGTAATTCCTGTTTTCTTCTCCTAACAAAATATCACGCTTCAGTTTCCTGACCGTGCTCCCCAGCCCAGCCTTCCCAGGTAAGCTGCTCTCTCTGTCTCCATTTATTTACAGGCCACGCAAACCCTAATCCATCTCTGACTCTATTCTCTTACCCTCTGCACCTCCTTAGATCTCCATACCCTCATATCTCCAGTCATTACTACTATTTCTAACTTCTAGCTGCTTCTCTCTTGCCTTTTCCTACATTTTTCCCCAGCCCATGAATGTAACCATCTATTTTTGCCATCAGCTGCTGCTCTCTGAGCACTGCAGTCCTGCTGGGGTAGTTTTGGGGAGATGTGGTTTTGAACACCAAGCACCTTTCTCTGCAGCATTTAGGTGCTTTCAAAACCACCTTAAAAGTGGCTCCAGCATGAGCAAGGTTTGGCAGGTCTGCAGCGATTTGAAAGCAATCACATTCAAATCTGGAGGGAGGAAGCTTGGCTGAAATCGCCCCCGAGTTACCTATTTCTGAGGACCTCAGCAGTACAATAACCTCTTTGAGGGATTCCAGGGCCAGATCCATGAAAACTCTCTTTCAGTGAATGAGAACCTGATGACATTCTCATTTCTGGGCTGAATATTTTGAACTGATGCATTATGCACCAGCCTGAAAGAATCCTTCTTGAGGGAATAAAACTGTTCTTTTAGAAAGCAGAGGGGAGGATTCCTGTTCTAGGAAGAGGTAAGGTGAACACTTTCAAATCCAATTCTCCAAATAAAGGATTGCAGCTCAGTAGAAGACACAAATAACCAACTGCCTGATGAGTAGCATGCAGAATCCCTGCTCTTATTTGCTTTCATTTATCTGCTAAACATTCTAGACCCTTCTGCTCTCCGTAAGCTACACCTAATAGAGTGGGCAGAAATATAATCCATTGTTTTGTGGTTTTCTGTTGTAGGAGGAGCTTTTTGTTTTCTTCAGAAGTGAAATCTTGTTTTTGCTTTCATTCTTTTTCTACCTGTAACAGGGTTCTACTGTTTCCTTTCCTCTTGAGGTTTCTGTGTTGTTGCTGGTGAACATCAGAACATTTGTCTTGTCCCTTCCATAAAGGAGCCTTAAGGATGATGTGGTCAGTGTTTGTCCTTGTCAGAGTGAGGACTGGGCTCACAAGCCCAGTTTCCATCAGTTATGTTCTCTGCATCCCAGTAGCCTGTGACTACCTCCTCCAAAATATGGAGGAACTGTGGTTGGTAAAATCTGTGATAAATCTCAGTAAGAAGTTCACGTTCAGCTGTTGAGGCACAGTCCACCACAGACATCTTCTAGGACCTCTTTCCATTTGTGTCCAGGTGGTGAGGAAGATCCAGACACTTCCTGTCACAGCACCAAGGGGCTGCTGACGTGGTGAAGCAGCTGCTGCTGTGTCTGTGATGGAGAGAGCTGACAACACTGCTGTGTTTTGGGCTCAGTTAGAGGAATAGCTGTGCACTCCCTCTGGGCTTGTGCTGGTCTCCAAAACTTGAGTGGGAGCATAGATTGGGAGGTCTTAAGTTCCTCAAGTTATAGAGACCAACTTAAAACATGTGGGAAATGTATGTTTCTTGATTTTTCATTTTCTCTGGGAACCATCTGGCTTCCTTTACACCCAGAAAGCAGAGGGATGCTGCAGTCATGGTGTGGGTGTTCTGGAGGTGGGTGTGATGCTGAATAATTTGGCTTTTTATGGAGGATCCAGCAAATCATCATCCAGGATGGAGGATGAAGGATGAAAGAGCATCTTGATGTTACATTAACACCCCAGATGTCAGATTAGTGCATGCTAATGTCTGAGGTCTCCTATGGCATTTGTCCCACATCCCTGTCCTGGGCTTTTTGGAGGTGAAAGTGGTTCTGCATGCAGACATTAGTACATACTTTGTTACATCTCTGGGAGGTCCTGTTCACTTGCTCCATATTTCAGTCTTCATGTGCATATGCTTCTTCCTCCAGTCTATCAGATTATCTGCTTCCCTCATTTAAGGCCCTGTCAAACTTTCTTAGGTCTGTGAAGCAGCAGGAGCTGATGAGAGACAATAATTGTCTCAAATCTAGAATTTCAGAGGCAGGACTTTGCCTTTAGTTTTGCAGGTAATAAGTGGCCAGTGTTGGTATGGGGATGCTGACTAAAAAAGTGTCTTCAACATGTGTCCTTGGCTGCTACTGCCTAGGAGAATGTTTATGTCTCAAGTGGAATGTTTATTCCTGTTTTGAAGAGGTAACTGGCAATAAAAACAGAGCAGTGTGATGGGTGCTGTGCATATTGGAAGTCAGATCTGTCAGGCAGGTTGTCTCACCATATCTTACTTAGATAAGAACATAGCTTGAAGGCGTGTTGGCCTGTTAATAAGATGTTGGAGAAAAGGGAAGCCACATCACAAGGTATCAGCCATGTGTAGTTAGCACTCAAACTATCAGGAGGTGTCTAAGGAGAACTTTGAATTTTTTTTTTTTAAAAACCACCATTTCTTAAACATTAAAGAAAATTATAGTTTATTCAAATGATAGACACCTATTTTCTTAAATCATATGTGAGCCTGTGATTGAACTCCATGTTGCCCAAGCCGTCCATTGTCTGTCTGGATGAGTTCATAATAACCCAGTATGTTAATTTGGCATTGCAGACTTAAAAGACAAGTGAACAAGCCATTTCTCATGCTTATTTTTTATTAACTTAATTTCCAAAACAGTGGTTTCCAAACTCCAGGTCAAATTGGTTGACTCAGTCTTTGCCTAGCTCTACTTAGAGCAGTTGATGTGCATGGCAGTGCTGGGGGAGTATTACAGACTACTAAAGACAAGCAGTTGTGCCCAGGTTATCATTTGTAAAATTGGGATTTTTTTAGGTCTTTGTCTGAAACTTGGAGCAGCCTCATTTCTCAGTTAAATAGCAAAATTCATACAAGCTTCAAGCCTGAATCAGGACAGGAGAAATAAATAAGAGAATTTAAATCTTAGTAATGAAGATACCACCAATGGTGTTAGGCACTCACTGCAGTTCAACTCCCTTTGTAGGCTGAGTCCCCTGGATTTTACAGTCCAAGCATTTAGTCAATACCTGGGCCATTAAATATCACTTAAAACCTGGTGAGATTTGTTATGGGAAATAAAATATTATGTGGAACAGCCATGCTGCTGGCTGCTCTACAACTTGGAGTTTGAGTTCTTTGTATTAGATGTTAACTAGAATAAGTTTTCCTATCGCTTGGCTTTTCTGTGCATGTTTTTGCAACCAGTTTAGTAAAGATCCTCTCTGTATTAATAGCTGAAGTAAATGACAATGAATTCATGCATTATAGAAGGGTTTTTTAATTAATGGGGCTCACAGATATCCCAGCCTGAAGAAGGTACCTGAGCAGCAGCCACTGGCTGTGGTTTAGTTCTTTGGAGCACAGTGCCTTGGGTGGCTTCAGTAATAGCTGGGCCATATTCTTTAATCCTAATGACAGTCAGGATCATGTTATTTTTTCCCTTCCTCTGCCTTTTAACATTTTTATTTATTTAAACAGTGATATAGGAAATCTGTTTGCTCAAAACTAGGTATTATCAAGTTGTTTCTCTTTTCCAAACCTCTCACCCAAATCTGTGGTTGTGGGCAGTGGTATTTTGTACACTTACTGGGTAAGTGGCTTTTATTTAGCTCTCCTTATTAGTGCTTTGTTTTATATAAAATCCTTCTGAAAAAACAATTAATTAGGATGGCATATTGGAAAAAACAGTTTGGATTTGTCCCTAAACAGAATTTAATAGGAAACTTTTGGATTGGATCTCTGGATATCATTCCCCTCTTTGGCAATCCTGCTAACCATCACTGATGGGTGTTTATTTCAGGAAGATTACTTTGCATAGACAGAACTTGGCAGAGGGTTTGCCCCTGAAGAGAAGTGGAACAATAGGAAGTCAGTCGTTTGGGGTTTTATAAATAGCTTTTTTGTCCCCTCCCTCTGTCTGTGTTGCAGCTGAAGGTCTTGGCAGTGCACATCTCCTGGTGGAGAGAGGCCTCTGTCCATCAGGCTGCTGGGGACAGGGTCTGGGTGGGTGCTCACACACACCTGAGACCTGACAAGTAGCTGGTGGCACGCCTGGCCTGGACCCTCTTCCAATCTCCTGCCTGGTAGGTAATCAGGGACCAGGCTGTATGAGCTTAGCTGGGGAAAGGCTCAGAGAAAATGAGAAAGCTTTCCTGAGAGGTGTCTGCGTGGCAGAGGTCCCCAGTCCCCTCCATGAGCCTGTGTTCCTGTCCAGCTGCAGAAACCAGCCATCCCTGAATAGGCATGAGTGCTTTGGGAAGGATGAGCATCAAGGCAAGGTCAACACTTGCTTGGCCCAAGCCCTCCCAAGTGTGGAAATGAATTTTGGTACCTGTTCACCCCTGCTTTGCTCACCCATGGCTGTGACGACCAGGCTGCCCTGCTGCCTTTGTGCAGGCACAGAAACAGGAGGCATTTCCATCCATGGGTGCTCTGCACACAGTGTCTGAATTCCTCTGGCTGCACGCAGCTAATTCTTTGGAAATTATTGGTTTGGGGTGGGACAGGTAACCTGGCAGTGCAGAATTAGGAGATGCCTCGAGGCTGTGGTGTGCTATAATTTGGTTAAAAATAAGTTGTGTAGCTAAATGTGTGTGGGAACATCTGGTGAAGCAGGTCAGTTCCATGCTTGTTTGCATGTTTATACTGGCTGTATCAAGTGCTCACTGGTTCTCTTTGTGTTGGTGTGAGCTCCAAGGACAGTTCCTCAGCCAGGACCCATGGGCATTGTACTCCACATGGGCCAGGGAAGGCTGTGAACCCTTTCCTGGGCTCTAGTTTGTTTTGAGTTGTAATTTCAATGTGAATTGGACTAGGTTTGCTCAAGCACCACAGACTCATGCCTGCTTGGATCCATCCTTGGTTTGGGTAGGGACAGTGCATTTCAGGGCTTATTTTTCCTTCTGTGGATGGGAGATGGTGAGCATTTAATCTGATACTTCTCTTGTCTTCTCCGTGATGAAGATTTTTTTCTGTCACCAGTAACAATTTTGATGGAATGGAGAATGTGTTTGAAGGTATGAACAAACTATCCCTGAAACACCTGTTTTGGTAGGAATTTTAGCTTGCTGGCCACATGAAAAACCAGAGGAGCTGGCTTGGTCATACACAGATAGCCTTCAAGAAAACCTGAGAATGTGGCCAATGCAGCTGAGTGAGAGGGGCAGTGAATCTGGAGAACTTTCTCTGCAGGGATTTTGGGTGCCCAGAGTGGGGAAACATCTGAGGCCGGCCCTGGGTACACAGGCCTGTATGGCCACCTCTCTGTGGCTGGTGGCTGGAGGGTTTTGCAGGTGTTTTGTCTGTACTTGGAGCTGATGGGAGGATTATCAGACCATAGACCTTCTCTATGCTTTTACCACATCAGAAGGAATTGTAGATTTAAAGCCACAGCATGGCTGAATGAACAAGGCAACAGATAATTGGCCCAGGAGGGAAAGAATGAGAAATGTGGTTGTCCTTTTGTTTACCATTTGCAAGAAGGAAGCTATTTCCATTCCTTTTTCATCCCGTCCTGGAATACCAGAATGCATTTGATGCAATATCAAATGCATTCTTAATGCATTGAGAATAACTCGGGTGAATAACCAAAATCAAACATATAAGTAAGAATCAGCTTGTATAGTTTGACTTGTTACAAGGCAGCATGGTGAAGATTCAGAGGTTCTGTGTTAGTACTTGATTGCAAAGATCAGATGGTCTCCATAAAAATGTTGGGTTTTTTCTGTATAAACTAAGATCCTGTGGTAGTGTGGAACTTTCTTTGCAAGAAAATGGATGTGATGTTTTATTAGCAGCAGGGTATTGAATATAAAAAAACATCTATTCAATCTTGGTGTGCTATTTTCTATAACCTTTGCTCTTTATGCTGATTAGAATAATTATTCCTGAAGTTGTTTTTCAGTTTTACTCTTGCCCTGACTGTGATTTAGCTGCATTCTCATTTATGTAAATGAAGTTTCATGTTGGTTTGAGTAGTATAAGTGTTCATTAAGTGGAGATTTTATATATATTTTTTAAACAAGGATGGCAAAATTAGAAGGTTAGCTAAGTAATATTATTTTACTTGTAAACAGGTATTTGCAGAATTTGTGATTAAATAATGATCCCAGCCCTTACAATTTAATCCAAGAATCTGAAGTCATGAGTACTGAGTATCATGAGTGTCCTGGGCTGTATTACAGCCAAATGCTTACAGCTCAGGCTGCAGGAGAGGAGCTTTGGTTACATTTGTTCTACATTGCAAAAGCAGTGGCATTGCCTCCATGATTATGTAAGAGTCTAAGAAAGTTGATTGTATGATACCAGATTTCAGAATTGGAAGAGCAGCGTGAGTGACTTAAGTGTGCAAAATTACAGAAGGGCTTTTTCCCTGAAAGGTCATTTGTTTTTCCATTTTATGTGCCATTCTAATAAAGTGTCCTGCCTCTCTCCCAGTTCTTGTTCCTCTTGCATTTATTTTGTCCTTGGCTCATTCAAGGTTATATGCATTAACATACTTGTTTTTCATGATTATGTGTATAAACCCACTAAATTGTGTGATTTAATAAATAGGTTTGAAACGATGCATTTTACTAATATGGGACACAGTCCACTTGTGAACGTGTCTGAAAGCAGTTCTTTGGGCACAGTGCTTTTTTAAACTTCTGTTCCTTATCTGTCCTTCAGAGTAATCAGTGTTTTTAAACTGAGGGGAAAGTCTGAAACATTTATTTTGGCATTTGCTTCAACAGTATGATTATGGTTGGTTGATTTGATTTCCTCAGTAACCAAAAAAATCCCCCAAAGTAATTTCTCCTTCATCATCTAATTAAATGCAAACACTACATGTGTTTTCTGTAGGTGATCAAAATTCATGGCATAAATGTCAACCCTTGTCTGAAACCTGCCAGTCTGTAGCAATGGAAATGGGATATTTAGTCTGCTTCAGAATTTAACATGATATGCTGGATTCAGGTGAAATTTGGGTAAGACATTGTGTCAACTTTACTGGACTGACCTCTAGAAAGTGTTTATTATTAAAGTTTTTAAGTTTCCACATGCTAAATATTAGAGAAAGAGAAAACATTGTAATGTATATGTAGTGAAATAATCCAATATTAAAAATACTAACATTTTTTTACATATTTTACAAATCCATGCCAGATTTCCCTATGGATTCTAATAACGGCAACTGTAGAGGTGCTGGCATTGGTAAGTACATTTTTATAAAACTGTATAATAAGCTGTAAACTTTCAAGTCCTTTAAATATTTAATTAAGTAAGAGAGGCACTTAGTGGTAAATACTTAAATACTTACTCTTGACTGAGAATACTGTAGATTGTGCTTTTGCATTCCATGGGCAGGTGGGATTTGGGGGCTGCTCAGCCTCAAAATGTCCATCAAAGCAGGAGGGCTGTGCTGATTTTATTAACAGTTTTGTCTTGAACAGAGAGAGTAATCATTAAATTGATTTTTCCCTGGGCAAAACCATGAAGATTATGGTTCATTCTGACCTTGAAGTTTCCAAATTGAATTCAGTACCCTTTGTAGGTAATGGCAATACTCCTATTAGCCTGAGGAGGTTGAGGGTGGCACCTTCTAAGGCTGGTTTTATTCCAGCAAGTCCCCTGTTGCTTTTTATTTCTGTTTGGGTTTTGCTGGAACTGAATAAAACCCCTCGAGCATTACCACTACTTGCCAATGCAAAGAAGCAAAGCCCAGGATGGTAGCTAATAATTACAGGAATGTGAATCTTTTGCTCGTGCAAGCCAATGACTGTAGATTTCCTTGAATTTTATTATGATTTCATCCAAAGTTCTTCTCTTAGGTCTTTGTCAAGAAATTGAGACTCAGAAGCCTTAGCATTGACCTCCATGTCTTTTCCTTCTGCAGAGGTGCTGATGAGCTACAGTGTGCACTGATGTCCACTTCAACAATATAAACACCTCAGACAACCTAAACAACCTCATGGTTGTTGAACCTAACATTAGATACTTATAATTTCAGTATTAAGCTCTGTGACTAAATTGCAAAAAGATGTTAGTAATGCCTAGTTTATGATACAGTTTAAAAATTTAATCAGTAGGTCCCAATGTGAAAGCAGTTATATTCATACAAAATGTTCTTTAAATCACAGTGTGCACCCTCTAGAAGCCCAGGTACAGTAAAAAAAACAAAACCTCACAAAAGCAAGCCCCTGAACAAGCTTTGGTTTGAATTGTCTTGAGCATAGGACCATGTCTGGAAGACTAGCTAAAGGTATTTGTTGCTAATGTTAATATCTTTATTGTTTGAAGCCATTTTTTCTTATGTGGCATTGAGAAAGTGGGGATTTCATGCACGATGTGGGCTGTACAGAGAGCATCCAAGCTTCACTTTGAGCATGAAAGCAAAGCTGTATCCTCTCCATGTCACCTTATATCAAAACTATGAAGCATATCTTTACTGCTGCCTGTCCATAGGCATGTAATTCCAGTGAGTGACCCTGCAGTGGAAAAGTTTCAGTCATATTGTTACTGTTGTGATGCTTTTCCGTGGCTGAAAGCAAAACCAGACCTAAAAAAATCCTATCTAGACAACAGGGGAAGGATATACTGAAGAATTGCTGATGCAGTATCTGCTGATATCACTGCCTTTTACTGTACATACATCAAATTGCTGATTTTTCTGCCTTTTACTCTACAAACATGATTTCTGGTTCAATGTGCTACATCTGTCTGAGCTGGCAAACACAGCTGGACCACCTAAAAGGCCATGTTTCAAAATGGCTTTATTTATATGTTCAGTAAAGTAAATTTGTAGTTTTGTCATTGTAAAGAGAGACTTTTTGTTTATTTGTTTTGCAAGTAGCAAATTGGTGTGTTTTTTTAAAAATCCCATTCTTAACTTTGTGGTTTCTGCATCTTATTGCTTGTGCTGCTGTGCATGGTCACAGGGAACAGTACTCATGGGTTATCCCTATTTGAGACGCCTTTTTTCCCTGTTCAGTGTTTGCTGGCAAAACCTTCCCTTTGAGTATGCATGGGGGTTTTTTGGGAGAACTTTTTTACCTCTTTTGGCAGTGAAGTACCTTGTTTTCTGCTTCATCATGTGCTCCTCAAGTCTCTTAGACAATTTTTTTCGAGTGTTTATTTTTTATCCTTTGTTTATCTGGGAGGTGTTTGCCAGGTTTGAGTGCCTTTACAGGTCAGTATTACAGCCAGGTTTTCCATCATGCATGCACATATATTTAAGATGACACAGATGTTTCTTGGTAGCAATCCATGGGGAAAACCATTCTCTCCATGTCTTTTGGCATTTACAGATTGAAGTTTCCAAAGACAGAGACTGTGAGCAGTTTGTAGTCCTGTATTTACTTGAAAAGAAGATTTAATGGCTAGCTGTGGTCTCAGCCAAAGCCAGTGGGAGCCTCTGCTGCCTGTCTCTGTGCTTGGGACACACCATTGTTGTGGTCTCAGAGCTCTTCTGGTAATTCTGGCAGCTGCTGAGGAGGCTGTCAGGTAGCATGGGATTATCCCTCCACATCAGGTGATGCAGTACATTTTTACAGCCACCTTTTGTGGGTATTTCCACTCCCTGGGGGAAGGTCAACATTTGCCTTTCTTGGAAAATCACTGTACCAGGAACTGGGAGAGAAGAATTGGTTCTGGCTCTAACTTTCTAACTGACCTTGGGAAATTACTTTTGTGTTAGTTTCTGCATCTCTATATAGTAATTAGGAATAATGCAGCATTTTGCATAGTTCTTTTAAATGTAAACTTTAAAAGCATGAGGTTGACTAGGAGGTTCTTCAATAAGAACATGAACATGTCTATAATTTAGAACTAGATGAACAAAACATATTCTAAAATGTATCAAGTAAGCCAATACTGCTGTAAAACTGAAGGAAATGTGAGACTGTGTTCTTGTCTTGCAATTTAGTCTATTTTATTTTAGCTGGGACACAGTGCCAAGTACTGTGGAGCAGGAGAACATTGCAGTGTACCATTGTTGGACTTGAGTGCTGAGGTGCCTGTGTGAGCCTGGGTCATAGGAGCACATCTTTTATTCTCTGTTTCAAGGCAGGCAATTTGGCCTGCAGTACCCATGAGCTCACAAAGGCAGAAGGGAAGCCAAAAATCACTTGCCTTCTCTGCTTTTGTTATTTTGACACAAACAGATAGCAAAGTTCAAGTCTGTAGGACTTCATATATAGATTACTGAGGATGTGTTTGAAATTCAAGGAAATAATACAATTTTCTTTTTAAATGTTTTCTTCTTTCCTGTATTTTGTTTTTTGTATTTTCAACTACAAAAATTCTCCCAATGGAAAATAAGAAGTTGGTAAACATATGATTCCATCTATTTTTTAAATTTCTTAATAGGTAGGAATCTTATATGGCAAATAAAAGTTCTTTTTCAGACTCTTCATGTTGGATTTAGTTAAATCACTAGCTTATATGCATTGATACTTAGAATGATGGTGTATAGAAATAAGCTGCATTAAATCTACTTCCATTTATGCCAAATCAAATGTCAAAATAGATGGCCATGCACATGTAATACTGGCATCTGCTGTTTGAAATTACTCCACCAAACCACACTTAGACACTAGTGTAAAATAAGTAAATATTTGCAGTAGAGCAACCAGTCCTGAAATACCAGTGGTGTTAATGAACACCACTGTGGGGCTGCAGCTTCAGCATTAGCATTCCCTGGGCACTAATGAAAATGTTTTTACCTCTCAGAGTTCCCAGCTGTCTGGCATCTGCACCTTTGGAAAGGCTGCTCTGACAGTGCTCATTTGTGGTGTTTTTTTTTTTTTTTTTTTTTTTTAATTGAAAGCTTTCCTTCTGGCCACAAGGGCTAAGAATTTCTTTGTTTTCATTAAACTTGGGCTTCTGGGTCATAATAAAATAGTGTAAAATTTACACAATTCCTAGTGGTGGGTTGGATGGACCTCTCAGCAGCCTGATCCAGTTGAAGATGTCCCTGCTTATTTGCCAGGGGATTGAACTAGGTGGCTTTTAAAGGTCCCTTCCAATGCCAACTATTCTAGGAAAGCCTGCTAGCCACAATATCCCAGTTTGCTAAACTAACCTGAGATACATAATATTCAAAAAAATGTTCAATCATGCATTGCCATAGTATTTTCTTTCCGTGTCTCTGTTGTAGTCTGTATGATAAAAGTAACAGAAATGAGGGCATTCCTTAGGTCTAGCACAGAAGAGAGAGCAGCATTGTGAGGATGGAATTACAGCACCTGCAAGCACAGGATCAAACCTTGAACTGGCCTAAAATTATGGTTTTGTCACTCCAGACTTAATGTCTGTGTGTCTTTGTGTTGTTCTGTGGTTTGGGTTTGTTGTGTTTTTTTTTAAATTTTAGAATGTCAGGTTTTTATCCTAAAAAATATTTAAGGTCTCATGGACCACATCTCCCAGCAGAACAGGCCAGGAATGCCCTGTGGGTTGTAGTGTTTCGCTGTAATAAGCAAGTCAGTTCAGTGAAATTTTTGTTAGGTGTTGTCGGATTTAACCCTTTTCTAACTTAGAGATGGGCTAACTGAGAGGTGTTTTAACAACTTTTATTCAGTTTTCAGTCTCATGAGAAGGGTGAGTCAATACAGGTGTTATAATTCCTGCCATCACAATCAAAAGCCAACTATTTCCTAATTACAATACACCACAAGTGTTTCTTGGCTTAACAAGATTTAACAGATCCAATTGAATCAGATGATAGATCATAGTTAGATTACTTATTTAAAAGATAAAGTTTTACCTTTGCTAAAAAAAGCTTTACAAAATAAATTTATATGCATTAATTATTATAATAATCATGTCAATAATAGTACCTTGTGTAATTCACTGTACACAGCAATCAGTGAACAAAACAAATTCATTTATTTGATTTATTTTCTATAAATCCAATTCCCACACTGTGTGAGCTCCAGGTTTTGAGAAGATTGTCACTGAATACGTGCTCTTTCCTTTCTGAGCAAAGCTTTCTGTTTCTGTAGAGCGCTGCAAGTGCAAGCCTGTGAAAGCCACCCAGAAGACCTACCTACGCAACAACTACAACTACGGTGAGAGCAGCTGATGGCCAGCTCCCAGCTTTCCCAGGGCTGCAGGAAGGGGAAGGTTTTCATTAAAAAAGCCTAAAAAGTTCACAGTTACTGATGGTAACCCAATATTACTTATTGCAGGAGGAAGGCGTAGTCTGAAATGTTTCCAAGTTAGAAAGATGGAGGGGATTAGCTTAATATGTTAGTACAAGGGTATCTTTGTTATTTCAGTTTTAGTGCAGGCATTTGGGGTTCGTGTACTTCTCTAGTGAGAACAGTGATGCAAGAAAAATGACATTGTGGGCTGCTGTGCCTGAACTGCCTCTGTGATTTCCAGTATACTCAGCTTTTGCAGAAGGGGATGTTTGTAGTAGCTCTTATGCCCACTAGCTCTCCGTGAGATCTAACAGGTTCTTTTCCTTCTGGTGCAACAAAGCCAGCAATGAGCATCTTGCCAGCTGTGTTATGCTGTCACTAACACCTGTGAAAGTGCACATGTCCTGCTCTTCAGGCATATCACAGCTCTAGGCTCTTATTTTCATTCATGCTCTTTGTTCCAAGCAAGTTAGGCCAGTGAAGCCACTGAAGACATATGACAGGAACTGAACAATTGGGCCCTTCCTTATTGCAAAAACCAGGCCTTTTTAAGCAGTTAAGCCTTTATCAATTCCATAGTTTTAAATCATAATAAGCACAGTCCAACTAACCACCATACCCCACAATATGAGCACATTATGGTTATATAACTTCTTTTTCTACCTCTAATTCAGCTGAGTTGCTTTCCCACAGTGCTCCTCTACTGAGCCAAAGCAGCAGGCCTGAGCCATGATTTTACAAAGGTAACAAGGCCCTTATTTTATTAGGCTTTATCAATATGCAACACTTCCTTTTTTCCCGTTAATCAGGTGAAGAGCCTTAGGTTCAGCCAACTTTAAGGCTTTATTTAAATGGTAGCTATTGTATAATATTTATTAGGGTTGCACATTTATAAAGCCAGATAATCTTTTAAAAATAGTTTGCTGTTAAAAGCTAAAAAACTACAACTGTATTCCAACACTTTTTTAGTCAGTTTTATGTCATTTTGATGGATTTTCTTATTAAAAAAATAGAGTGACTATTTCTCTAGTCAGAAACTGCATATGGCAGAGTCATTGAACACACTCCTGTTCATTTTCTCAAGATTTTGAAATTAAATAGGTTTCAAAAGGCATTTGAAATATCCCTGAACTAAAGCAGTATTTTATTTTGAGATGTTAAAAGGTTTTGATAAAGGGAATCACTTAGTGTAAATTGTGTATACTAGATGCACTAGTTACTGTTTGTTGACATCTGTATTTAATGTGTTAAATGCTGGTTTAATGGCTGTTAATGCATGTGAAGAGATGTGTAAGTCCATGATTTTCTTTCTTCTCTATTACCTTTTTTGGTAAGAGACATTTGGAATTTGGGGTATCTCCTATTTATAGTGTGGAAAGGGACTCTTTGAATGATGTGGCATTCTCTAGAGCATGACCTCTGGGTTGGCTTTGCATTTGTATGTGGTATCAGTTCACTGGTCACCAGGAGAGAATGAAAAGCTTTGCCTTTGAAAGGCAACCTTTCCTCCTGTGCAACTTGAGGCAAAAAGAGAGGCAGAGAGAGGAAACAATTAGAAAGGTCACTGGGTCAAGATCAGGAGCATTTTTTGAAGTTCAGAAAGAGCAGAGCAGATTAGTGCTGGGTCACTGGAGAGAATAAAAAAGGTAAGGGCCTGTCATCCAGCAGAAGTAGTGATATGAGAAATTTTAATGCACATTCACTTGTATAAGGTTCAGAGTGATAAAGTTTGCTCATCTGTACTGCAGGTGGTCAAAGAGGGGACAGTCACAGCTCAAGGGAGAGGGAGAGCGTACAGGAAATATATTTAGTATCTTTAACATGGAAAGGGTGAAGAAGAAAGGAAGGAAGGAAGTCAAAGCCCAACTTAAACAGGCTGTAAATCCAACTGGTACATAACTCCTGCTCCTGACCATATTATTAAGGGGCACGCTGAGCTACCTGGACCTCCTTGGTGGAGGGTGAAGTAATGAAGGGAAGAGATGGAGGCAGAGACATTGCAGGAGTTCAGCTAAGCTTCTGATAAAGGACCATGCAAAAGACTAATCCCAGAGGTCACCAAGAACAGCTTGGGAGTGACCTGCATTATCTGCTGCTTCTCACAACGCTCTTTGTTGCTTTTCCCCAGTCATTCGGGCTAAAGTGAAGGAGGTGAAGACTAAATGCCACGATGTCACTGCAGTCGTGGAAGTAAAGGAGATCCTGAAATCTTCCCTAGTGAACATTCCAAAGGACACTGTAAACCTCCACACGAATTCTGGCTGCCTGTGTCCACCCCTCAGTGCCAATGAAGAATACATCATTATGGGCTACGAGGACGAGGAGCGCTCCAGGTAACTCCTCCTGTGCTATCCTTGACTGCTCTCCTGCCATAAAGCTGAATGTCAGAGCCAGAAGGAAGGAAAACTTGGTGTGGGTGTCTGTACATCTCCTTCATGGCATTCAGGGAGGGCAAGGCTCTCTGCAGGCACAGGGATCTTAGTCTTGTGTGTGTTGGGTTGTATAGCCTCTTGATGGAGGTGTCTCTGTTGTGTAGGTTACTCCTGGTGGAAGGCTCCATAGCTGAGAAGTGGAAGGAACGTCTTGGTAAAAAAATAAAGGTAAGAAAATACCTCACCAGAAATCAAATGTTGTGGGTGCCATAAAACATCTACCTGTCTTTTTAAAATAAGGGAATAAAATGCATATGCTGCCTCAAGTTAATCAATATCAGATATGAAAAACTAATCTGGTATTTTATTTGCTTCATTACATAGAACTGCATGCTGAGTAAATGAAGGGATACATTGAATTACCCCAAAGTGTCCCAGTGTAGCAGCAGTCAGAACCCCTGTCTCAAAAAAGCAAACAGTAGGAGTCTTTTAACTCTGTGGGCAAGCTGTGTTTTCCACAACACGTGCCTGCTTAGTTGGGGTTGTGATATGAATGGAAAAAAAAAACCCAAACAGACCAGGCGGCTTTACAAATGTTTTTCAGACTAAGTAATGGACAGGGACACCTTCCACCAGCCCAGGTTGCTTCAAGCATCCAACCTGGCCTTGAACACTTCCAGGGATGGGGCAGTCACAGCTTCTCTGGGCATCCTGTGCCAGGGCCTGCCCACCCTCACAGCCAAGAATTTATTCAATTTATTTTATATAATCTAATCTGGTCTAATCTAATCTCTGTCACTTTAAAGCCATTAGCCCTTGTCCTGTCATTACATGCTCTTGTAAAGAGTCCTTCCTCTTTCTTGTAGCCCCTTTGGAAGGTACTCTAAGATGTCCCTGAACCCTCCTTCAGGCTGAGCAGCCCCAACTCTCTAGATGAAAATATATTCTGGCTTTTTCTTACTTAAATATTTTCTAATGCCGTCCAAGTTCTGGAAGGATTACCTTTTTATGTTTTGATGCACTGCAAAGTATTAATGGTTTTGACATTGTCAGGAGAGTCACTTGACACTGAATATTCTTATTTTGGCACAATTTCTCAGCCATTCATTTGCCATAATGGTTTTGCCTGTGCAAACCAGTTTTCTCTTCCACTCAGCGTTTTCTTCCTCAGTGTAAGGGTCACTGGCAGGAAAATACTGTTGTATTTATACAAGCAAGATTTTCTGTGCACATTTCTCACATCAATGGAGATTACAAGAGTGAAAAGATACAGGGATCTTATTTCAAGTGGTTGTTTGATTTGGCAGAACCCTGGGAAATCCAGTGCCACAGAGAAAATACCATTTTGCTGACATGGGGTGACTTCTGCTCAGTTTCAGTTCTTGGGTGGTAACATAATTTGATGGAATTTTTTTGGGGAACACATACTTATTATGTCTTTTTTTTTTTAACTGGGATTTCTATTGCCTCCAAAAATAAAAAATAATAATTATTTTTCAATTTAAAAAAATCCCTTGCCTATTTTTTCATCAAGTTTCCTCCAAAGACTACATGAGTAGCTTAATTTCAATTTTATTGTTTCAAAGGTGAGTCCCCCTTGTGCTGAAGCTTTTTATTAGACCCTTCATTCACAGAGGCGCCAGGAAAGAGTTTCCCTGTTTAAATGACTTTTCCCAATAAGCTCTCATTTCATCCTTGAGCCCAGTGCAGGATGACACAGTGGAAACAGCAACAGCATCTTTTGCTGCTGTTCGCCAACGCATGGTTCTGTGACCCCTCTGGTAATTTCTGTGACCCTCTGTGGTAATTTCTGTGACCTCTTTGGTAATTTCTGTGACCCCTCTGGTAATTTCTGTGACCCTCTGTGGTAATTTCTGTAACCTCTGTGGTAATTTCTGTGACCTCTTTGGTAATTTCTGTGACCCCTCTGGTGATTTCTGTGACCCCTCTAGTGATTTCTGTGACCGCTCTGGTAATTTCTGTGACCTCTCTGGTAATTTCTGTGACCTCTCTGGTAATTTCTGTGACTGCTGTGGTAATTTCTGTGACCCTGTTAGCGTTCAGGAATAATCACAGGATATGATTATATGCAGGTGCTTTTATTGAGAGCTCTGGGAAGCAGGGGTACAGACCCAAATCTGACTCTGACATGGCTTTTGAGCTGAACGTATTTTATATTCTATTGTTATATGACTTACATATTAATTATTAAACTTATATTGTTCTATTCTATACATTGACATGAGTTTCTCGTGATCTTTCTTAGGTCCCTGACCACAGTTTCTCATGATTATTCTTACGATTAAACAGTAATTATATTTAATTACTAAACAATGATCACATCTAACAGTTACATCATTTATCAGGTACTAGCTACACAGGTGCAGTTCTATCAAGGTACAAAGTCTTCCTGTACTCAGGGTATTTATTTCTTTTCAGGGTCTACTAAGCTTATTTTTCCTTTTACCCCTAAATCCCCATGATTTTACACCCTTTTACTCTCAACCCGTGCTGCCTGCGGTGACCCTGCGCTGATGTGTGTGCCTTTCCCCCGCAGCGCTGGGACCAGAAGCTGCGGCAGGCGGGCACGGGGCGAGCGGAGCCCGGCGGCGGCGAGGCGGCTCCGAAGGCCGGCGGCGCCCGGGCGGCTCGCAGCTAGGGCGGCACGGACGAGCAGGGGTCTGCCAGGGCTTCCTTGGTGCAGCAGCCGAGGAGAAATTGCACTATTGCACGTTATATTCTATTGTTTACTACAAAGTAATGGTTTAGCTTTTATTAGGTTTTTTTTTGTTCTCCCTCTTTTGTTTTCCGCCTTTTTATTTTTGGATATGTGCAACTTCTGGAAATGTATATTTTTTGGTTTTTTTTTCTGTTACTAAGAACTGTAGGAAACTGCCCTTATGAGATGAAGAAAGACAAGGACGTGTTCGATTTACCTTTTTATCTCCTGAATCTTCTTTGGGAGAAAATTCTGATGCAAGCAGGAATGAAATCTGGCAAAGACCATTGCTTAAAGTCATGACTCGCACTGGCTTTCCCTGTTCACTCTTTCTTGGTCACTGTTTGCTGAAACTTGCTCTCTTTGGGGTAGGTTATCTGGGTTTAAGTGTATCATTTTTTATTCTGAAATATAATTCTGAAATACATAATTTTTTTTGTTAAGAACTGTTTGAATCAGTACAGCTTTATTAAGTTTTCTTACAGATAAACCACTTGCATAAGGCAGAGTCTAACTTTAAATCCTGCAACAAACACAATGTGCATTTACACAGGGAACCTGGGTTTTCCAGTGCTTTGGACCTTAAAGGAAATATTATTTTATAATAAACATAATTTATAATGTGCTTTTTCTCTTATAATGGCAGTTTTCCCCCCCTTTTCTCATCTGAGTTATAGGAGTAGACAGACTCTCCAGGCCTGCTTCTCAGTACAGGTCTGCAGTTTAGCCTTTTGATTTTGTGGTGTTATTCTTAAATCCGTGCCTACATAAGCAAGTGTTCAATGCTCAGTAACATATGTCCAATAAAAGAATTGTAGTTGCCAACACAGACCTTACCTGACTTCTGAACCAACATCATACTGCTAATACTACTCTTGAAAATACAAAACCGAAAAAAAACCCCTTATTTTTTGTGCTTTAATAGAATTCTTTGCAGATGATGCCAACATCTTGGAAATTATCTTTGTTTTTCTACTATATTTCTAAATATGATGACGATAAGTAGGACAGAATATTTGGGAATATTATAATAAAGCTGTTTTAAGATTTCAGTTAACAACCAGCAGTCTTGGGAAAGGTTTTCCATTGGGCTGGATACCAAGACAGTTGAAAAAGAGCAACATCCTGCAACACTCAAATTTTTATTTATCATTAAAAATAAAGGGATATTTTAGGGGAAAGATTGGTTCTAAAGGCTGGCAGAAGGATATTAATCCTCTAGGTATTAAATCCTCAGTATTTTTTCAGAATTACACAGATCACAGAATTATTTAGGTTGGAAAAGACCTCCAGGATCATCAAGTCCAAGCTTGGATTGATCTCCACCACATCAACTAGACCAGAGCACTAAGTGCCATGTCCAGTCTTTCCTTGAAGACCTCCAGAGATGGTGACTTGTTTAACAAGTATTTCTGCTGAGTTGGTAAATAACAGACCAATTTGTCAGATTGTGAATAGCTTGTTAAATAATGTTAAAAACCTCATTATTTACCCCAAAGCACCCACTGAATTCCCGTAGATGAGTGCTGGAATTGCAGGGTCAGCAGGCACCACTCATCACGTCGTGTTCTGCTATGAAAAGAACTGTGAAATCATAAAACCCTTTTAAAGATGTAGGAAATCCCCAGACAGTTGGGAGTTTACCCTTTGCTAGACACCACTTCTGAAGATGGCCTCTCCCATCCCATTTCTCTGTGATTAACAGCTACCTTTATTTAATCCAGTTGCAACCCGGTACTGCCATTAGTTGCATTAAAAATTGCCAGAGCAGAGCACAGTGCTGCACTTTAAAACCTCAGTAAGAGAAAAATGAGCAGCATTTGTAACAGTCACACACATCATGATGTTACAGTGAAAATATTTCCCTAACTGGAAGCCACCAGATTGCTCTTTTTCCAGAGGTATTAAGCATTTTTCATTTCATGAAAAATGAGGATGGCATGATGGGCTCTTTGGAAGAGGCAAGAGGCATTTTTTACAAACCTTTAATAAACTGAGGAGCCTTTTACAGACTCTGGCACTGATTTTACCCCATCACAGTGACTTCAGTGACTGAACCTTTGCAGCACCACCCAGACTCACTTGTGCTGGTACAAATGACATGCAGGGACCAATGAGATACAGATGGCACAATATCAATTATTTCAGTAACTTTGAGCAGTATCTCTCACACATGTGTTTCGTGGCCTGGAGCACACTGAAATGCTCTATTGCTCTAAAGCTGCACTTACTGCTTTATCACATCTGTGAGGACTTTGTGGCATCCACTACTGTTTTAAAGTGACTTTTTTTAAAATTATAGTCTTATTAATTTGACCTAGTTGTACATTATTTTCTTGCTTCTTCCCCAGGAAATAATTTTCTGCCCTTTTTGTGCCTATTTTGATGTGATCCTACATTAAACTTTCAAAAATGCACTGTGTAGAAGCACTCAGCCCTCAGCACAATGTTTTCAAAGACATCCACTTGGGACGTGACTTTCCTTCAATTTGTGATGTATTTTGTTCCCCTAGTTTTATTGACTTATGTAAACACAAAGTCAAGTATGTTCTAAAAGTTTGGTTTGTCCAAAGTCATGTTGCTCAGCTGCAAAGGCAATGGAGTGTGGACTGCAATGTTTGCCTGGTGGAAGAGCCCCCAGGATCCATCACACAGCTACAGCAAGGGAAAAGCACAGTGCAAGGAGGAAAAATCCCCAGAGCAGGCAGACTGCAGAACTTGACAGTTTCTGAAGGGCTGCAAGCCAGGCTGAGCTGTGGGTCCAGTGCTGGCTCTGCTCCCAGTGCTCTCCAAGTGGCCACTTTTCCCCAGGGTGGCTGAGCTGGTCCAGGCTCTCCTCCCTCCTAATTCCCAGTTTCTCCT